TAATATAGTACAGTACAAATAGTATTGACTTCACTTTGACATTCCTGAGTTAAGACCATTCCCTTGAATGTTATGCTATTATGTCACTTAACTCTAAAATTTTTTTCTTTACATAATAATACTTCCTACTTACATGACTGAGAGAAATGAGAATACAATTAAAAGCAAATACAGTAGATGCTCAAGAAGTTAGTTCCCTTTAATCAGACTTCTGCTCTGTTCCAAAACTAAACCAGTGAGTACCACAATCATTGTTCAAGGTTAGATTTGACAAGCTCTCATTTCACCATTATAGGCCTCAAGTAGATGAATGCTGCTCCAGTAAACATTTAAAAATATCTTAAGGACCCACAACCACTATCAGATATAAGAGATCAATGTTTAAAAATTACCTACACATTTTTCCTAAAGTTGTTTCATTCTTTTAAAGCTAAATCACTGCTACAACTCTTCCCAATCTTGTTACATGCACATGTGACATACTAGTCTCTATGAAAAATGACATCTTGATATCTCTAAGAAAATTATCAATGAAGCAATTCTGAAATGGGTTGCCTCATAAACTAGGAAAGCTGAAAGGAAGCACAAAAACAATTATTGAATTCCCAACTACATTTCTATCAGATATTTCATATTGTCACATGCTTGGACTATTATATGAAAAATTAGACAGTGGTTATTTTAAGTATATTAAATATGTTCCAAGATTTGTGATGAGAGAGGTCAGTCTCTAAAAGTTAACAAGACTTAATAGCTTAACAATGCCTTTCACTCTGTACAGTTTAACAAATCACCAAGGCCATTTCTAAACAATAAAACAGCTGATCAATTTATTAAACTCTTGCCAACCAAGCAACTATTTTTTCCTGAAGTTCATATTTGATGCTCTGTGGACAATGACAAGTTTCCAATTATGTAGCATTTTAGTATTCTTTTATTTTTTAGGGTGTTTTTCTTAAAGTAGTGTTTTTATAAGATCTAATTATTTTTCTAACATAACTTATGCTCTATTCAATCCTGGATAACCTCAGAACTTCTATAAAAATTATGCAGGTTTATTATTAAGTCTATGAGAGAATTCCCCCTCTACTTTTAAAACATAAGCTAGATGAGATTAATTTGCTTTATTCTGACACATTTTTTTAATTTGAAATTTGGTCACTACCCATTTCCTGTGTTGCACTGTGCATACCCAGCTATGGTTACTATCTCAAACTAATAATGATGATCCTCTACCACACTGCACAAAAGGAACCACACCCTGAATGTCATCTGACAGTTCCTACAAGTTATTTTAAATGGATACTGACATATAACTTCTTTAATGCTTTTATCTTTCAAGAAGTTAGCACGACCATATTTTGGAGGAGCCAGAATGGTAGAATGTAACACAGGAATAACTATCAAACTGAAGGCTATGGAATCAGTTTCAATTCCAACACTTAGAAATTCTGACTTTACAAGGGTCACTAATTCCCTGTGCCCAAACTGCCCTTCAATGAGCAATTACATCTCTCTACATTAAAAATGTTCCCATTAATTTTAAGTTCAACATAACTTATATATGCACAAAGAGAAAAAACAAAAAGCCAACTGCAAATAAGGGAGTTAGAGAATCAGTTCCACTGAATCCTATTAAATCTCCTTCCTCCCCCTAAGAAAAGCTGAAGGTGATAAATGCTCAGAAAATTGCCAGGCATCTTCCTAACATTAACCTATTAATCTTCACAACACTCATGAAGCAGATGTCAAGGACCTCTAGTTTTACAGATAAAAGAACCCTAAGACTAACTGATTCTCCCAAAGTCACACACAGTTAAGAGATTAGATTAAACTAAACTCTTAAGACTCTGTACTCATCATAATTTGGAATCAAACAATGTTAGATCAAACCAAGAAATGTTATAATTATCTCATGCTATCCTCTATATCCGTGCTATCCAATAAGGTAGCCACTAGCCATATGCAGCTATTAAGAACCTGAAATGTAGCTAGCCCAAATTGAGATACACTGTAAGTGTAAAAGACAGACCAGATTTTGAAGACTAGTATGAAAAGAAGAACATGAAACATCTCATTAAATTTTTTTACACTGATTACATGTTGAAATGGTATTTTGGATATACCAGATTAAATAAAATTTCACTGGACAGCACTGGTCCATACTTCTTTTCAAAGACCTTCCAATGAAACATGTCACTGTAATATCAACCAAAAAGCAGTATTTTCTTAGAATTTGTTGTAGCACAATACAGAAACCATATTTTGAGGGAGGAGGAAATGGGCATAATTAGTATTTTGAGGGACACAGGCATATATGTATGAATAGATACACAAAATAGGCCTTCTAGTGTTCTCTAAGGATAATAAAAGATGTTTCTCTCTCATTGCAGGCATATGTGACAAAATAAATCACAAGTGAGGAGAGAGTTATGACTTTCCCTTAAAGTCATATTCCATTTCCTTATGTGGAAATGTGAAAATATTCACATTCCTAATGCACACACAGGGTTATCAAAGTCACAAGGATGCCCATAAGGCACAATGAACTTCTCAAAAAAATTTTACCTAATGTGTATTTATAATTATTTTTTAAAAAGTCACATATCATAATATTGTTCTAATATAGAATCAACACAATCTTATTTTGACTAAAATAATAAGAGATACACAGTAAGGGGAAACATCAATTCAAAAAATAAGGATCACCTGAAAATAGTATGGCAACTCCACATAAAGTTACCATGTGTTTTGTGACGACCTAGAGGGGTGGGATAGGGAGGGTGGGAGGGAGATGCAAGAGGGAGGGGATATGGGGATATATGTATAAATATAGCTGATTCACTTTGTTATACAGCAGAAACCAACACAACATTGTAAAGCAATTATACTCCAATAAAGATGTTTAATAAATAAATAAAGTTACCATATGACCCACTAATTCCACACCTAGGTGTATAAGCAAAGAGAAATGAAAACACAGGTCTACACAAAAATGTGTAGATGAATGTTCAGAGCAGCATTATGCGTAATAGTTAAAAAGTGGAAACAATGCAAAAGTCTATCAAATGATGAATGAATAAACAAAATGTAGTGTATCCACACACTGGAATATTCAGCTATAAAAAGGAATGAAGCACTAATACATTCTAGTTACAGAGTGTATGAACCTTGAAAACATTATGCTACCTAAAAGAAGCAAGTCACAAAAGATCACATATTGTATAACTCCATTTATATGAAATATCCAGAATAGGCATATCTAAAAAGACAAAGAGTGACTGCTAGTGAGTTTGGGTTTCTTTTGGGGGTGATGAAAATGTCCTAAGACTGACTGTGTTGATGGCTGCACAACTATGTGAAAACACCAAAAGCCACTTCAAATGGGTTAACTGTATGGTATCTGAATTACATCTCAGCGAAGATGTTTAAAAAAAAAAAAAAAAAAGCGCAGCCAGAAATGTAGAGGGAAAAAGGATCGGAAGGATTGTCTAGCATTTAACTGCTATTTCTCTGGATGTTTGTAGCTTTGTGGTATTTATGTTTTTAGCTTTTGTAATTTGTGATTTTTTTCCCTCATTTTAAATATTAATACTGGTCAAAAAATGTTTAATCACATCATTACACAACTTGGTAAACTTAATAAAAGTCGTAAGTTCTACATTTAAATGGCAATTTCTATAACATATGAATTATCTCAATAAAGATGCTGAAATTTCACTTCAACTAGGAGATAGTCCCTCAAACTAGGAAACCCACTAAGACAGCACTAACTGCCTTGGAAAGTAAATGGCTTTGTGGAAAGTCCAAAAGACAGTTACTATCTCAGGCAAGCAAATGCTCAAAGTTCAGAAACAGATGATGGGAATTTGAAGATCTCAGTATAAAAAGGTACAAAGAAACAACATAAAAAATACTACTTGACCACTTTCTCTTAAAAGCTAACCTTCTGATTCAGACGCAGAATGGAAAACAGAAACAAACAAAAACCCCTATTTACCTAGACGTCTAAACCTGTAGCCTAAGAACCTCAGGGGCAGCTGTTACTTAAGATAATGAAGGTTGCTTTTCACCCTTTTCAAATAATAAAACGTGATGGTGCCACTCCACGGTCCACCCCATCCCCCGCTACCACCACCACCGGCAGGTGGAGGGAAAGGATACTGCAGACTAGAGGATGACAGCTTTGTATAACCCTTTGGACTCTATATGCAAGAACGCAGCTGGTGGTCTCTCAGGAGGGGGTAAAGAGATTTGTGAACAAGCTGAAATAAGGGGTATCCTTTGCCTGGAAGAGGACACACCGTGAGCCACATCTTGAATCAGCTATATCCATAGTAAAACACAGGCCGCTGGAAGGCACTGTTAGCATCACCAGGATGGCCTCTCACGCCGGGGGTGTTTTTTTTCAACGGAGAAGTTGACTCCTGTAGTTTGGAATACTGGGGGGAGGCAGGGGTAAAGCGGGAGTCGGGAAGACCAAAGAAAATGCCTTTAAGTGGAGACGACTCAGGCCTCACTGAGGAAGTTCCGAGACTCACTCGGTCGCCACACGCTAGTCCCCCCCTCCACCTCCCACCGCACTCCTGCCCGCGGCGCCCGACATCGGTGGGGGAGCGAGAGCCGGAATCTCCGCCGCTACCGGGATGGGGGCCGCAGCCCGGCCCTGGCATCGCGGCACACACACGCCTCCTCCGCACTCGCCGCGCCCGGCCTCCCCGCCGCGCGGCCCAACCCCTCGCACCCGAGCCGGGCCGGCTCCTCGGGGCAGGCCTAGGCCGCGCCGGCGGTACCCCGGCACCTCGCTCCCCGGCGGAGGCGGACCAGGCCCGACACAAACTTCCCGGCGCGTTAGCACAGGCGTCACGGACGGGCCAGCCCCCAGCGCCATTCCCCCGCGGCCCGGCGGCGGCTCCCGCCCCTACTCCCCACACTCCGAGTCCCGGCGTAGATCGACCCGAGGCCCACGGCCCCCACCCCTCCGGCGCCCCCGAGTTTACCTCCAAGTCGCGGCCTTTGTTCTTGAAATTCTTGAGCCGTTGGTTGTCCAGTTTCTCGTTGTCCGCCATGGCCGGGCCGGTGACTCCTTCCCCCGCCCGGGCCCCGCGGGATCCGCCCCAACCACCACGCCGCACCGACACTCCCAGGAACCGGGCCGCCGCCTGAGCTGCTGTGCCCGCCGCGGCGTCGCTTCCTTCCTCCTCTCACCTGCCTCCGCCGCGGCCTTCTCCTCCTCTCCCCGCCCGTTTCCCCCCCCCCCCCCCGCCCTAACCCCAGCGCGACCGCAGCTCCCGCTAAGACAACTGCCGGGCCGAGCGGCGGCAACGGCGGCGGAATGTGCTGCCGGCTGCGAGGGGGAGGAAGCCTCGATCTGAGGGCCCCGGCGCCGCGGCCACGCCCATCGCCGCCAGCCCAGCTCGCCGATTGGCCAACCAGACTCCGGTGCGTTCAACCAATCAGAAAGAACGATGGAGAGCGGGGGCGGAAGAGCGAACGGAAAGGGAAAGCGGGCGACGCTGGGAGGAAGGGGCCGGGGCCTGGCCCCGGAGGGGAGGGGCGCGGCGGGGGCAGAGCCGGGAGGGACCACGTGCCCCCGGAGCAACGGAGAGGAAGCGAAAGAGAATTAGAGGCGGGAAGGGGAAGGGGAAGGAGACGCCAGGGAACTAGTTGGTTTGCTCATGTGCGGCCCACCCCAGACGTCTGGGGTCCGGGGTCGAAGCCCACTTAAAGTACGTTCTTTTCTTCTTCGGTGAACCTTCTCTTCCAGAGCATTCTTTGCGAGTTCCGCTGGCTTTACAGGAAGTGGGATCTGCGCCTCTGCTCCATCCTGGGTCGGGACAACCCCCTCCTCTCAACCGAGCTCCCTACCCTGGCAGGGGTCTCTGCTCTCTGGGGGCCCGGCTTCGGGGCTTGGACTGGAAGGAGTGATGTGCGTTCGGGAGGCGCAGCGGAAAGCGGTAGGGACAGTGGGTCGAAGAGGCAAAGGACGTTTTAGACGAATCTGATTCATCCTCTCTAACCAAGTCTCGCAACAGGTGGGAACTTGGGCAGCGCTGATGATCCGGTGACGATACCACCCCCTGGATATTTCGTCTTAGAAAGTTAAAGGAGCTCCTCGGCCACAGAGTACTAACTTATGGAAGGCGGGGACCGTGGCACCTGGCATAGGAAATGTAATATTGTAACTCTGTTGAGAAAGGAAATGAGTTCCGAAGATACACATCTCTACCAGAAATGTTATTACCAGAGGCAGAAATAACACAAGCTACAAAGAACGTACTAAAATGTTTTAGAAAGCGGGAGAAGGAAATGGTTTAAAAATATATTTAAATCCAACTAATAGCTCCTCAAATATGCAGGAGCAATTGGGGTCGGAAGGAAAGCGGGGTGTTTAGAAGCTTTGGGTGTGTTTAAATTTGGCGAGTTAGGGGGAAGAGACCCTTATTCAAACTACTTTGGGAACTTTTACACCTGGTCCCTCCCACTTCCTTACCGGTATATTGTTTGGGGTAGAACGTGCAGAGATAAAACGTTTAAAATGAGTATAATACCTTTAAAGTCCTCAATACTTTGTATGCTTTGAGCTGCCTAGGCAAACAGAAGCTGTACCTGGAAATAATTCACACTGAACGTTCACTCGAATGTAAATTCACTGCCGATTCTAAGTTTAAAATGATGTTCATTATAAATCTTTATTCCCCAAAGAATCTCACTTCAATTAGAAGTAACATTGCACACTGTAGCACTGATGCCTTCAAAGTGAGTTTAGGATAAGAGAATTCAGTTTAGAATACCGTACTCCTAAAAGAAGGGTGTGATAACAGTTATCCACTAAGAGAGATGCAATACAAACCGGAAATTACCACAACTTGTAATTTCGGTTTTTAATATTTGTTTAATGTCTGTCTAAGGTCTCTCTCCCTCTCTACACAATAAGCTCTCTGAAGTCAAGGGCCATATTTGGTTTTTTTCTCTATATACCCGTCACCTAGTACTTGGCATGGTAGTGTGCACTCAGTGACTTATCAAAGGCAGGACCTGAATCTAAGCTGCTGTGAGTGTATGTTTCATAAGTTAAAAGACAAGCTAACACTTCTTGATTAAAAATGTTGACTGAGTTAGTACAGCTTCTAATCTACACTGGGTTCCTTTTAATAATTCTTAATTTGGTATCATGCTCACTCCAGGGTTAAAGTTCAGGGGGTAGATCAGACATAGGCTTCAGGGCAACCCCCCCACACACACACATGTTTAGAAGGAGTCGTGACACACTTTCCTAAAACGAACAATTGTCCTTAATTATAATGCTTAGGTAGTCTGTTTGCTGGCCTAAATTTTTCATTTGAAATTATCATTACCCATTGCCACTCACTTTACATGTTTAGTGTCTGTAGCTCCAGTTCTTTCCAGATAGAAGATACACAATTTATATAAAAGGAGTACATTTTTTTTCCGGGGAGTTGGTAATAGATCTAAATGCAGATCGGCAATCTAATTGGCAAGATATGGTAGTTCTTAGTTAGGAGGTGTCAGAAATTTAATTTGCTGAACTAAGGAAATAGTAATGCAGCCATCAATACCATTTCAACACAGACTATTTAACAATTTTTTGTGTGTATTATGAAATATATTTATAACCAAACACTGTAGGACTTATACATGAGACCTATTTTAAACAGGATATTCAACAGCAGGTACGTAATATCCTGACTTGTTATTATTTTGGTATAAGAAAAGTCTAAAATATTATGGAGATACTAGCTTTCAATGTGTCATGAAATTCTCTTAGAGTCACTTTCTGAATAAAGAAATTTATTTCTCTGTTCTGCAGCAGAGACTTGTGAGAGGATTTGTGAAGCTTTATACAGGGTTTTAGGTGATCAAATGTAATTTCAAAAATAGTTATAATTGAACATTATTTCATTTAAGCGGTTTGGAGTATTCTCATGATACATACATTAACTTGAAGACTGTGGAACCCCTCTTTAATCTAGAATATGGATCTTACAGTTTGTGTTACTGTTCGGGGAATTATGAGTGATTTCTTGAGCAAAACTCTAGGCATTATCTACTGAAACAAGAAGCAGTTTTATGTGTTGTTAAATCTTAACTAAAGTGTAATTTCTATTTTTTATAGTTGAGTGGTTTTTTGTGTTTTTTTTTAGAGAGAAAAAAACATTGGACCTTTGTTAATATGCTTTTATTTTCTTAGGAAAACAGAACTGATCAGGTAGTGGAGGACTTTATTTATTCCTCTTTATTGCCAGGATTTTTCAGACTTTTGGGGAGCCTGGAAAAAATTACTTCTTATTTTGACTCAAGTCTTGGAATGGTAAGAGATTAAAAGCATAGCTGTTGATAATAATCTGACTGAGAGAGATGAGCCACCAGTTTTTCTTTTAACTTAGTTTTTTTTTTTAAGCTTAGTTTTGACTAATTAATTGGAGAAATACTCATAATTCATGTGTACAAATCATTGATTATTGGTAAATATCTATTTGTATTGCCACCAGGCAAACATCCATAGATTTTCTAAAACATTTTTCACTTGCTTTTTTTTTTCATTTTTAAAATTTATTTATTTATTTATTTTTGGCTGCGTTGGGTCTTTGTTGCTGTGTGCGGGCTTTCTCTAGTTGCGGCGAGCGGGGCCTACCCTTCATTGCGGTGCGCGGGCTTCTCATTGCGGTGGCCTCTCTTTGTTACGGAGCATGGGCTCTAGGCGCATGGGCTTCAGTAGTTGTGGCTCACGGGCTCTAGAGCACAGGCTCAGTAGTTGTGGCACGTGGGCTTTAGTAGTTGTGGCTCACAGTCTCAGTAGTTGTGGCACACAGTCTCTAGAGTGCAGGCTCAGTAGTTGTGGCACACAGGCTTAGTTGCTCCACGGCATGTGGGATCTTCCTGGACCAGGGCACAAAACTGTGTCCCCTGCATTGGCAGGCGAATTCTTAACCACTGTGCCACCAGGGAAGCCTCCTTCACTTGCTTTTTATTTGGACCTAAATATTGAAAAAATTAAAGGATACATACACTCTTCAATTTTAATTTTTTAAAAGTAAACAGCACAGAAGGATCCACTTAAACCAAATAGCCAAGGAGACTGATCATATGACTTAGAGCAGTGTTTCTCAGACAGAGAGTTCCCCAGATCTAGATGTTAGTAAGTATTCCTTAAAACAAAACAAACGAACACAAAAACTTTCCTTGGTCTAACAAGTTTAGAACTTGGTGGGTGCGGGGAGTGGGAATTTTGAGACAGTGTTAAGCAGAACACCATTTGGAAACTTGAAATCAGTGAATTGAGAAGAGTCACTATCCCTCTTCAATTTAAAAATTTTGTATTAATAGCACCAGTTTGTAAGTATAGTGACTTACAAATGGGTGGTATTTCAAAAGTTTGCTTGAAGATTAGTTCTTTGAAATGTGTGCATAAAAGCATGGTCATGACTAGTGAGTAGGTGTTCAAGTTAATCCACAAGGGCTTATTTAATCTATAAAGTATTTATATGAATGTCACAGAACCTAGTGACAATATGTGGCAATAGTTCTATGAGGAAAATGCTGTATTTGGAGTTACAACTTTGGGTGGGAGGAGCACTTTTCTTGTCTTTGCCACCATGCACCAGGAACTGTGCTAGGTGAGGAAGAGACAAAGTACAGTGTTCCTTACGTGTAAAATTCCATGTAGCAGAGATTCTGCAAATTCATATCTTACCTAATGTTATGGGAACCTGGGCTAGCTCTCACTAGTCAGGCTTCCATGGCTTCCAGTAGCCCAAACTGGTAAAGAGGAATGTTAGGATTCTAGGGGCTGAGAAATAAGGAACTGGGCCCAACCTCTTGCCCCAGTAGATCTCACTTCAGGCAAGCTCCCTACCCCTATCTTTTTTTTTTTCTTCTTTACTTTTTATTTTTTAATAATTACAGATTCACAGGCATTTCCAAAAAAATAAAAAATGTACAAGGAGGTTCTATATATCCTTTACTCAGCTCCATCTCCTCCCATGGTAGCATCTTGAGTAATTATAGTACACTATCAAAACCAGAAAATTGATGTTGATATAATCCATAGAGCTTATTCATAGGGGACGGGAGTCATTAGAATGTAAAGACTATATGAAAGTATCAGGGGGTGCCTATATACTGGAGCCTCTTACAACCCTATGCTTGTTGAGAATTTTATAATGACAACAATAATAATTGCTACTGGGAATTCCCTGGTGGTCCAGTGTTTAGGACTTGGCGCTTTCACTGCCAAGGGCCCAGTTTGGGGAACTAAGATTCCATAAGCCATGCATTGAAGCCAAAAAAATTTTAATAATAGTAATAATAATTGCTACCAAATATTTAATATCTACCATATTCTAGGTCTAGGTATTCTATCTATGTGATGTATTTTATTATTATCAGTGTTGTTATTTGTATTTCTATTATTATAAACATAATTATTGAGCAATTATGGGACAGGCAGTCTTCTAAGCCATTGATAATATTGACTCATTGAATCCTCACAACAACCCTATGAAGAAAGTATATTATTACTCACTTTACAGATGAGAAATCTGAAACACAGAGAGGTTTAGTAATTTTCCCAAGATCACACAGTCAATAGAAGAGCTGGCATTTGAACTGGGTCTGACGCCAGAGTCAGCACTCCTGATTACCATCTAGGTACATAGACTTCAGAGTTCATAGTAACCTCTCAAGGTAGATATTATTGTTTCTATTTTCTGTGTGAGGAATCTGAGGTTCAGAAAGGCTAAGCAACTCACTCAAGATCCTATACAACTAACAAGTACTGGAGCCCCAGTTTGATTCCAGGCCTGACCAGCTGCAAACCCCCACTATTTATAGTTAGCCATTGTTATGGACTGAATGTTTGTGCCCCTGCAAAATTCATATGTTGAAACCTCATCCCCAATGTGATAGTGTTTGGAGGTAGGGCCTTTGCGGGTGATTAGGTCATGATGAATGGGATTAAGTTCCCCTATAAAAGAGGCCCCAGGGAGCTCTCTCATCCCTTCCGCCAAATGAGATTACAGTGAGAAGACTAGTCTATGAGGAAGCAGCTTCTCACTAGACACTGAATTGGCCATCACCTTGATCTTGGACTTCCCAGCTTCCAGAACTGTGAGAAATAAATTTCTGTTGTTTATAAGTAAGCCACCCAGTCTATGACATTTTGTTATAGCAGCCTGAACAGACAAAAAAAACATTTTGCCTCCCTGGTTTTTTTTTTTTTTTTTTTTTTGGCCTCGGATTGAACCCAGGCCCTCAGCAGTCAAAGCACAGAGTCCTAACCACTGGATTACCAGGGAATTCCCACCTCGCTGGTTTTTAACAAAAATCTCTGCCAGACCACAATGATATTGTGATTTAAAAAATATATATTTGGTCTTCCTCCACAGTTTTGGCACATAATTCCTAAAACCTTTGTAGTTTCCTAAGCAATAAGGGTTATAGGGATACCTTTCCTTCTCAGCTTCTGAAATAGCTCCAGGATGAAACGGGTATCCTTTCAACCACCTCTGAGTTTATGTTAATATGATGACTTTCGGAAAGCTCCTAAGGATAGGGACCTCTGGTGAGGGGAGAGGGACTGGAGGTTGAATCAGTGGCTAATGAAGCCTCCATAAAAACCCAAAACCAACTGGTTTGAAGAGCTTCCATGTTGGTGAATACATGGAGGTGCTGAGAGGGTAGTGAGCCTAGACAGGGCATGGAAGCTGAGCCCTTTCCCCATACTGAACCCTATGCACCTCTTCCACCTGGCTGTTCCTGAGTTATATTCTTTTATAATAAACTGGCAATCCAGTAAGTAAACTGTTTTCTTGAGTTCTGTGAGCTGCTCTAGCAAATTAATCAAGCCCCAGGATGGGGTTATATGAACCCCCAATTTACTGCTTATAGGTCATAAGCACAGGTAACAACTTGAACTTGCAACTGGTGACTGATGTCAGGGAGTGGGGCTCAGTCCCACAAGAATTTAACCTGTTGAATCTGACACTATCTCCAGGTAGTGTCAGAACTCAGTTTAAATGTAGGTCACCAAGCTGGTGTGGCAGAATTGTTTGGTGTGGGAAAAAAAATCACACATTTGGTGATCTGAAGTGAGAGTAGTGCTGTGAGTTGACAGAAAACAGAAGAGTATTTTTTTCCTAAACAGGCTCTAAAGAGGTCTAAGTCTGCAATGCCTGAAGCAGTGGTTGTCAAACCTTAGAGTGTTTTAGAACCACTTGCAAGACTTAAAACCCCAATTGGTAGACTCCATCCGCAGAGTTTGTGATTCAGTAGGTCTGGGATAGCATCTAAAGATTTGAATTTCTAACAAGTGCTCACTTCGTGCTGCTTGTGCTGGTTCCTGGAACATACTCTGAGAACGACTAGATCTGGCCTGCCATCCCATTTAAGGTGGTTTCAGCCTAAGGTAAGGCTAGAGTTAAATAAGTATAATTAAGCATCACAGTAATAGATGATAATATATCATGTAAATTTTCAAAGTACTGCAAATATAAAATAACGGTTATATGACTCTTACTTGAAAAATGTACCACATAATTAATGTTTCAAGGATAGAATTTACAGGTCAGTAATATCCAATTCCATGTTACTTTCTGAATAGATTGATGCAGTACTTTCCTGGGTCCCCTTTCTGCCTCCAGTTTTTCCCTTGAGTTTTCTCGGATACCATTGATGACATTCTTCTAAAAGATTAGCTCTATTGAGCCTGTAAAGTCTATTCTGAGTTCCTTGTTGTTAGGTTAAATCTCATATCCTCTGCCACTTGCCTAGCTCCTTGAAGGCTCAGGCCTGTCCCAGTTCTTGAGTCAATCTGCAAAGAGGCAGAGCATGCCTCCATTAACTGTTCTTCCTCGACTCCTGAATTCTAGCCTGTTTGCCAGGTTTTCCTCTATAGCCGCCTCCTCGGGGCCACACCCTCGCAGGTCCAGTCAGGAATGGGTTCTCCTGCCACATCTTGACTGGTCTCCTAGAACGGTCTCTGATACCAACAAACAAAACAGAAATGCAGAGTTAATTTTATTTTTAGTCACCCTGTTCAAGGGGATTCCTTCACAATCAAAACAATGAAAAAAGGAAAACTTGTTAATTCTTAATCCTTTCTCATTTCTCTTAAT